TTCCTCTTGTCCCACTATCATGCTCAGTCTTCATTTGGGTTTCAGTAATTCCTCTTGGTTACATTACCCTGACCAAGATCTACCAGGCCTCCTACACCCTCTTCACCACCGATTTTGGATCACTTGTTGTTCCCTTGACCCTCGGTTTGTTAACACCACTTCCTTTCCCCTCATACATCCCCCTTTCCCATGTTCCCCCAGAACCGTTGGTTCAGTTGTTTTCTCCTCCAGATTGTTCATCCAGCCTGTCTTATTTAGACAGACATGCAGAGATAATAACATGCACAAAAACAAGACAGAGCAAAACCAAGCAACAAAGAAAACAAGAGCAACAACAAAAAGCCAATGACAAAAACAACAACAACAAAAAGGAAAAGCCTGTAGTTAGTTCAAGGACTCTTTGTTGGCCTTTAGGAGTGTTTTCCAGTTCAGTCTGATGGAGTGTCAAGCCCTGGCCCCAAAGTCTATTTTTGGTATTCCCTGGGGACTTCGTTACTCTGTTCCCCTTGCTGTTCTGTTGCACACACCCCCATTGTTTTACCTCAATGTGGTGGGATCTGATCGGGTTTAATTCCCACACTGTGTCTCCAGTGTAGGGCTATGGGTCAGTGAGGGATGTTGTGTCTCCTATGGTCTTTTCTGTGGATTGGTTGCTCTGAGGGGAATATCGTCCTCAAGGCTTGGTGGGCCAGGGTGTGCTCCACTCTCTCTTCCTCCCCCTTCCTTTGCTCCTGTGTGCTCTGATCAGACTTATGTCTCTCCTTGAGCTGCAGCTTCAGTGCTGAAATAAATTCTAATGAGGGGAGGGTCGGGTGTCCGTCCAGGTTGCTGTAGTTCTCCAACATCACATCCAGGTACAGGTCCTTCTGAACCGGGTCCAGGAGCTGCCACTCCTCCCAGGTGAACTTTCTGGCTACATCATCAAACGTCAGTGATTTCTGTCATAAACAACAAGGCCACCCCACTGCCATTGATTAGATTCTGACTCATAGCAACCCTGTAGGAGCAGAGTAGAAATGTTTCATAGGGATACCTGCGCTGTAAATCTTTACACACGTGTGTCCCATGGAGTGGCTGGTGGCCTCAAACAGCTGGCTTTACAATTGCCAGCCAGGTGCTTACACCACTGTGCCATCATGGCTCCCCCAAACTCAGGGAATCTACAGTTTCACCAGATCCCTGGAAGATTCCAGTCAATGATCAGCCAACTTTGAGAACCTAGCCCTAGAGCCAGAAGTCAGAGAGACATGTAAGAGCTGAGGTGACATGAGATGGTGAGATTCATGGCAGAGCATCCTAGCAGCAGAACCAATAGACCTGCCCACAGAGCGTGCCACCCGCAGAGCAAGAGGGGTGAGCAGAAGGCTTGCTGGCAGAGTGGGCTGCCTCTGAGCACTTACCAGTGAATCTTTTTTTTAAACATTTTATTAGGGGCTCATACAACTGTTATCGCAATCCATACACACATCAATTGTGTAAAGCGCATTTGTACATCATTCTCAGTTTGTAAGTAATGGCAGCTAGTTACCATCTCCTTCTGGCTTCAGGGTGGTGAAAGCAAGTGTATTTGGGCCTCTGGGCTAATTGTTTCCACATATTTTTGTATGCTAAATGTATATATTTAGATAAAGATAAAATATTTAAAATAATTTGTTCTCAATGTTGTAATTTTATTATTATGCTCTTGACTTTCCTCTTCAGTCTACATGATTTATTCTGATGCAAATGTTTCTTTTTTCCCCTAATTTTCATTTCCTTCTAATTTTCTAAAGCCTGAAAGAATTGTTATGCTATTGAGTTGATTTTATTCATATTAAGTATTTACTTTATGTGTAATCATAATACTATTACTTTTGCATTGTCTTTTCCTACACTACATATTTTATTGTGGTGATTTTCCAAACCTGAAAAAAAGAATGAAAGAATTTTGAAGTTATCACCCATCTGCCCACCTTGTAGATTTTGCCGTTAACATTGTACTAGACTCATTCTGCCAGGTATCTTAACTATCCATCCCTCTGCCAATTTACTTGTCTGTTTTGTAGTTGGCTTTGTTACATTTTGAGGTAAATTGCAGGCATGTTATCCTTCCTTCTAAATGCTGCCCTCTGTGTCAACGGTATTGACAATGAACAATTAGAGAAATTTTACTTCTGCAGATAATTAACTGGAGTCCTACTGATAGTCCTTTAGTTGCTCCTTTTTCGATTACAGGTAATTTTGTCCAAGTGTATGGACTATGCAATGATATAAATCTGCTTTTCCAGTCTTCCGACGCATTATGTGGCTTGCACATACCCTGACTTGCTCTTCAGTAGTGAACAACAAAAGGTGTAAAGTCCCTGCCTCAGGGTTATTTTGAAGATTAGGTTTAAGGTCATATTTAAAGTAAATTTCTGACCTTACTTAGGCTGCTGTGTCTTGTGATACTTGTTTTTAATAGTGTGTTTTCTTTCTCTCTTTTTCTATCCCTCCCTCTTTGTTTCTCCAGTTTTGTCTCTCTTGCTTTTGGAAACAATTTTAATGTAATGAAAACTTTGAAGAGCTATGAACTTACAGAAATGATGTGGGAAATGATTTTTATGAAAATGACGTGGAACTCTCACTTCAAAGGTGGAACGCTGTGATCTGTGCATAATTTAAAACACATGGTCTGCTTGTGAGGCATGAGAAAAGTAAAATTCCCCTTTCATGAAATTGAGCACTAACTAATGGAACTTACAGCTATGTTTTGGTGAGTCAATGTAAGGTATTTCCACGGCAACTCTGGGACTATCTGGGTTCAGGGGGGAGTAATGGACACTCAGAAGCCCATTTTTTCCCCTTCATCCCATAAGGCCTTGTGGGGGTAGCCAGGCCCCCCCCCCAACTAATCACGGGCTCAGTAGGCACAATCGTATGGTTAAGATATACAAAGATTATAGTAAAGTTAAGGAGAATAGGAGAGATAGGTGAGAGTAAAATAAAGAAGTCAGACACATTTCATGGTAGCATGCTCACCTCAGTTCCTCTTGGTGGTCCACGTGGAGGTGGGAGATGAGAGGGCAGGAGAGAGCTCTCCTGAGGTTTTATTTCTAACCAAAGCTTATAAATCTTTGGGGGCATGCAAGCCTTCTGATTACAGATAACAATGTATGTCATAGGAAGGGGTTGTAACATAGACAATACAAGCAATAGGAGGGGGATGACCTAGGGGTGTACATGCAATAGTAAAGGGAGGGAATAAAGAAACATATGTGGCAAGATGGGTGGACCCTAGACTCAATATAGTAGCCTAACCTTAGTCATCCTGAGTGGTCCTGGGCTTGCCTTTGGGCACTCCTTCTAGGGCACAATATCAGAAGGGAGTGGGCCCTACTTGGGGTGAGTCAGACTATGCAGTCTAGTTGCTCTAGATGGCTGATACCCTTAAGGAGAGTAACCTCTGACGTATTTTTAATGACCCGGCGTACAGTCATTTACCATGTGTAGCAAGCAGAATCTTGGGTTTGACATATATTTGGGGGAGACAACTTGGGAGAAATCTTTCTGCATCCCACAGGGCCTGTCTGTCTATGAACAAGAGGAATGAGGTGAAGAAGGGAGGAGAAGATTTCAATACTTGGGAAATCATCGTTTCTCCGAATAGCCTTGGCAGAAGATAAAATTTCTGAACAGAAACTCATCACTGGTCCAGAAGCAACAAGAGCAACGCATGGCAGTGGCAACCATTTCCCAAATTCAGGAGGGAATGCTGCAAGCCCAGGTGACTAGGGGCTTGGTCACATCCTCGATAGATCCGCACTAGCTCTTTTTAGTAGCTTTCACTTTGGCTCCAACTCATGGTGACCTTGCATGTCACAGAAGGATGGGTTTGTAAAGCCATAGAGATAACAATTCTCATATTATTTCTGAAAGCACATGGTGAATATAGGAATTTGTATTATTCATTTGCTTGTAACACATTAAATTTAGTATTGGCAAAAAGGGCTTCGAAAATTTCATGGAAAAATCAGTTGAAAGATAATGGACCTTTCATTCCAGATTACACTCATTTAAAAGTTAAAAAGGAAAGAAAGATAATGGGATTTTCCCACAAACGTTCTGAACCCTTCTGTGTACATTTGCCTGTGCTCACACATACAATGCTACCTTAGGAAATTATAATGGGTACATACTACAGAAACTTCTTTGAATTTTTAACTTATGGAGTGGATGGACAACTATTTTAGTAGTATTTTAATACTATTGTACCCCAATAACATGATTTTAAAAAATAATACTACAATGGATTAAGGGGATAAAAAAAACAACCAACAACTAAATTTCCTATATGTTTAAAAAAAAAAAGCATAGTTTCTTTTCCTTCCTTCCACATCATCGAAAGAACATTACTTCATTAAACTAGACTCTGTTTACAGGAATCACTGACATTGAAGGATGTGACTGTGGAGTTCACCCGAGAGGACCCGAGCTCCTGGACCCGGTTCAGAAGGACCTGTACCTGGATGTGATGTTGGAGAACTATCGCAACCTGGTGTCCGTGGGTGAGGACAACTTCCCTGTCCTTCAGTGAGTCCCCAGCCTGCGTTCTTTATTTCCAAACTGCTTAACTCCTGAAAGTGCCTGCCCTGCTCTGCAGGCCTGTGAATGGGTGGGTTCATTGTCAGGTCCCTGTTGGGAATTTGCATTTCTAACATCCCCTGGCTAAGCTAGTGCTGCTGGTTAGGGACCAGTTTTGAGAACCACTAGTGGAGCAGTGGTTCTTAGCCATTGATTATATTAGAATCACCTGAGGATCTTGTTAAACTGTAGGTTCTGATACCGTATCTCTGGGGTAGAAATGCAAATTTACAGCACAGGTTCTAACCTAAACTAAGCCCTGCTCTTAAGTGTTAGGTTTTCAGATCTCTTAGCCCCCTTCCACTAGACAAACGGATTTATAAAATACTCTCTTCTGGGAGAAAAACCTGGACTTTCCATAACATTTTAGTCCCTAACTGTAACAATTTTTCCCTTTTTGATCTACCACCATTCAGTTCAATATGTGTAAATCATCTGTTATATCCCATGAACAGGGTATCAAGCTAGCAAACGAGCTGTACGCACTACGTTGAAAGGAGGAGCACTGTGGACAATAGAAGATGAAAGCTACCTTCAAGTCTGTTCAGGTGAGGTTGGAACCAGCAAGGTGGGTGGTTGAAGAAATCCTTCTAGAAGGTGCCACAGCTTTGGGTGGCTAAGACAGTGGTTCTCAACCTTCCTAATGCCGCGACCCTTTCATACAGTTCCTCATGTTGACCCCGCAACCACAAAATTATTTTCGTTGCTACTTCATAGCTGAAATTTTGCGACTGTTATGAATCAGGCGACCCCTGTGTAAGGGTCAACCCACAGGTTGAAAACTGCTGGTCTAAGGTATGTCAACTGAAGCTACTTGCTGTAAGAGAATAAAGGATTTATTTTTAAAAGTTTACAGGAAAGTATACCACATTTTTCCCTTCTGAAATCTGATCCATGTCTTTTTTTTTTTTTTAATCTTACCTGTGGGGTACCAGCCCCACAATCAAATAGGTCCAAGGGGCGGTTGTGTCATTGAGGGGTAAAATTAAAGAGACATCAGACAAGATAAAGTATGCAATTGCTCACCTCCCGGATGATCAAGCTCTCAGCAGCCAGGTCTGCACAGAAAGAGCCAATATATTTCCAATCACAGCTTCTACACACTTTGGGGACATGCAAGCCACCCCACCCCCCTAGTTACATCGTAACAGGAAGGGGTTGTAATTTAGGCATATATGCAACAGGAGTGGGATGAGCTAGGGGTGTACACGCAATAGGAAGGGAGGCACTAGGGGTACACATGTGACAAGATGGGTGGACTCTAGACTCAAGATGGCAGCCTAACTTTGGTCCTCCCTGAGTTGGCTTGACCTTGTCTCTGGGCTCTCCTTTAGGGGAATAATCCACTATCCTTAGCAGGGAGTGGGCCCTACTTAGTGTGGGACAGACTATAGGGTCCGATTGCTCTAGATGGCTGATAACTCTCCGGCAGATAACCTTTAGAAGCTTCAAGCAGTTGACCTCCACGTGTACAGTTATTGACCATGTGTTAGCAAGCAGCACCTTGGGTTTGGCATATAATATGGGGGGAGGGACAACTTGTGGGAAGAACCTTTCTGTTTCCCATACTTACTGTGGATTTATTGTCTGTTGACATGTGCTTCTACCCTCTAGAATCTCCAAACTGTCTTTTCTTTGCTCATTGTCATATTTAGTGTCTCTGTCAATTCCTTCCATCTCTTGCTGTGACACTCTTACTTCCAAAGAGAGGACGCTGACTTCTTCACTCTTCTGACTCCTACCCCTTTCTGAACCACTGATGTACTGATAGACCATTTAAAACCCAAACCTCCCTTGGAGGCTGTTCCCCGGGATAACTTAGACTCTCACCATGCATTGACAGCTACTTCCTGATGTAATTACCGGGTTTCATTCCGACAGCTCGGTTTTAAGTCAGTTCTGATGTAAGTTGAGTGCTTTTTCTTTTCTCATGTTTTGTGAAAATAACACGGTGAAGGCATCTGACCTCTTCTACATGTAGAATCAGGGTGAAGCAGCAGCTCAAGGCCAACTCCTCTGAGGTGGAAGTCAGGCATGCCTCCTTTCTCCAGCCTCTTTACCCATTCTGGCACCAGCTCTCCTTCTTAGGGCAGTTTCTGTTTCTCTGCTGGGTCCTGTAAGTTTTTGTAAAGGTCACACAGAAATGACACCAAACCAAAGATGACAGAGTTCACTAGGGAATTAGCAGGTTAGAAGTCAGGATCAGAAACAACTAAGAATACAATTCTTCGATCAAGGCAGCCTCTTCTGAGCTGTGCCAAGTAGAAAGGAGGGTCTCACAGCTATCAGGAAGAAGAGAGAGGAGCAGGGCGTGTCTTTTGAACCCTGAATCCTTGTTATGACAACTTTTTAGACCAAGGAGACAGAGAGAGAGTTGTAAGACCAGAGATGGTGAGAAACATCAAGAAGAGGCAGAGGAATGGTGGCAGGAGATGGTGAAGTGGGTTTCCTGGCTTACGATGCAAGATGGCTGAGCATCTTTGGGCATTGGGCTTGCTAGCAGAGTAAGTTGCTTTGGGGCACATGGTGCAGCCAGGTTTGCCAACCCAGGGAGCGAAAGCTGAACATCTTCTGGCTGAGGCTTACTGGCAATGTGGGCTACCCCTGGGCCCTTATCAGCAGAGCTGAGAGAGCTCTGTAAAATTTCCCTGAGCCAGGCAGGGACCAGGTCTGGGGACTGAGGGCCAGTGATATCCCCTTGGGCTTGACAGAGAAGAAGCTGTCCTGAGCAAAGAATACCACTTGAGTGTTCCTGAAACTAAATTGTAACCTGTGACTTCTCTAATAAGCCCCACGACTGTCAGCACGGTGAGTTCTTGTGGCCATCCCATTGAATTATCACACCCTGCAGAGAAATAGAGAAGACTGAGGAAAGGAAAGTTAGTGTCAGAACTGGTTCAACAGTTGCCGTGTGGGAGCATGCCTAACCTTACTTTATAGGAATTGGCCGTGGATGCTGGTTTTGATTCTCCTCCTGGTTTGTGAAGTTAGAGGAGGTCTGACACCTCCCCCACCATCGCGCTAGTTTTACAGTAGCTTATCAAGCAGCTGTGGTGGCACACTCGTTACGGGTTGGACTTCGATCTACAAGGTCATCAGTTTGAAACCACCAGCTGCTCCATGGGAGAAGACGCGGCTATCTACTCCCATCACAAGTAACAGTCTCAGAAACTCACACAGGCAGGTCTGCCCTATTCTATAGGGTCACTGAGTTGGCCTCTACTTGATGGCCGTGAGTTTGTTTTTGTTTATTAAGGCACAGGCTTAACTCGGGTTCAAGAAGCCTAGAGAAAGTCTCGTGTCTTCAGTTCGGGATAGCTCTTTCAGCTTTCAACTGTAGGACAGGCCTCTCGGACCTCTCAGAGCAGTCCCTCCTTGCCTGTCACGTCTTCTAATATTAAAACCCTCACCTGTTTAACAGCTCTTTTTGGAAGTTCCTTCCCTCCTCTCCCTGTTCTCCTCTTTCCTTCTGCTGCTTCCCTCTGCTTATCTCCTTTCTGTTGCAAAAACCTCTGTGGTCAGTTGTCTGGGGAAACCAGCCCCGCCCCTCCCCCACTAATCGTGGGTTCCAGCAGGCGCAGCTCCATGGTTAAGATGTACAAAGATTATAGCAAAGTCACAGAGAATAGGAGAGAGAGTAAAATAAAGAAGTCAGACACATTTCATGGTAGCATGCTCACCTCAGCTCCTCTTGGTGGTACACGTGGACATGGGAGAGGCCAGGAGAGAGCTCTCATGAGATTTTATGTCTAACCAAAGCTTATATCTCTTTGGGGGCATGCAAGCCCTCTGATTACAGATAACAATCTATATCATAGGAAGGGGTTGTAACATAGGCAATACAAGCAATAGGAGGGGGATGACCTAGGGGTGAACACACAACAGTAAAGGGAGGGAATAGGGGTACTTATGTGGAAAACTGGGCGGACCCTAGACTCAATATAGTAGCCTAACCTTAGTTATCCTGAGGGTCCCGAGCTTGCCTTCGGGCTCTCCTTCAAGGAACAGTATCAGAAGGGAATGGGCTCTATTTAGGGTGAGTCGGACTATTCAGTCTGGTTGCTCTAGATGGCTGATACCCTTTAGGAGAATAACCTCTGACCCACTTTCCTTGCCATCCTAGTGTACGTCATTGACCATGCGTAGCAAGCAGCGTCTTGGGTTGGCATATATTTGGGTGAAACAACTTGGGAGAACTCTTTTGTATCTCACAGTCCATTTCTTTTTGTCAATTTCAAGGCATGGCACCTCCCAGCTGGGGACCAAAAAGTGACCAATCCACTCTTGGTAGGGTACAGACACTTCATTTGCACAGTCTATTGGCCTATCTCTGCAAGGTGCAGACAAACTACAGAGAAGGCTTCAATGCAGGACCTAACAAAAAGTATTAAACAGCCAGTTGTTTACCATTTACTCAAGAGATGTACAAGCCTTCTGCAGTTGATAACTAGGGCATAGGTAACTCCTCAGTACTGAGAGGGAAAACTTCTCAAGCTTTTTCTAAAGAACCCAGGGAAAAGGCCACCTAAAAGAACTAATTTCATCATGTGTTATATAGCTTTCAAAGGGGTGCTCCTGTGATTCTTTAGTTGGTGAGTCATTGCCCAGATAAGTGTCTGAGGAATTTTAATTTACTAAGAAATAAGGAAATATTCTAGGAATAAAGATGTTTGTAGTCTGGAATGAGAAATCTTTGGGGTTTTTTTTGACGGGGGTATAATATTTAGAATCTATACCTTTTCTCATAAGATACTTTTGCTCTGATTCAAGACTATGTGAAAGTAACTGAAAATGAGCAATGAACAAAGACATTAATTTATCATTTATAGGACATAGAAATTACACTGTTACAGACATAGTGGAGAATAATATTATGATGAGTTAGAGATATCGTGTGGTTTT